GTGTGGAATTTAAAAAGATGGGATGTTTAGAAATATTTATTTGAAAAAAATGTATGATGACTCCGAAGAATAATAGAAAGACAGTAAGTCAATAATTGTATGAAATAAATATTTTTACATTTTTGTGATCTACTTCAGAGTTAGATAAGAATCAGTAGAAAAAGCTAAATTTTTTAGAGACCCTTGGATTTGAAATTATTTATAACATACCTCTGTATAGTTATATATACTTATGAAATATTGTAACAGGTAGAAATCCATGATTTAGATGATTTCATAGATTTGCAATTGATAAATGATTTTCACCAAATATTTCATGAAGTCGGAATGATACGTTTGAAACAATAGCAAATGGAAATATCTCTCGAAAACTAATAACGTGTAACAATTTGCTCTGCTCTACCTCGGCGAGCGCATCTGAATTCTCTAACTTTCAAGGGATATGAAATGTGATTACGACAACGCCGGATTTACATATCAACTAAGGTTTTTAGTCGATGCGACGCCTCAGACTCCCATCCGTAAAGCTCAACTTGTGCGACTGACTTGAGTGCGCGACTAGACGCCTGCATTGCCTTGATTGACAACCGCGAGATACTTCGGAATCGTTATCACGAATTCAAAGCTTGACATAAAATTCATCTACATTTTCTATTGGCTGCTCTAATTATTATAAAATAAACAAATTCATTTATTATTCGTTAGTAGTTCTTACTTTGATAGTATAAAGTTGGCCATATTTGAGGAAAGTATAAACTTCCATATGGTCTACTGGTTAGGATACCTGGCTTTCACCCAGAAGGAGAGGATAGAATAAGGGAATTTGTAGTGGATATGGGATCATCTAACAAGGAGAAATTCAGGTTTATTCTTTTAAAATTTTGATGAAACTTTGCATGATGATAGTGTTGGTAGTCAAACTAAACACCTCATCAAAGAGATGTGGTTTGAAAATTATTCAAAGTTTTGAAAAATATACCGGGTGAATACGTTCGCCTACAATGTTTCATATCTATTTGTCTCGACAGCTCAGTGAATTTAACAATCTATTATTTTTATGTTTCCTGATTAGGGCTGGCTTGAATTTGCACATAGTAATTATGTTATATTTAGTCGACAGCCTAAATGTGGAAGCTCTGTAAGCTTAGTCACTAAAATTTCACCTATATAAATGTTCACCTATATAAATGTTCACCTGTCGCTATGTTTGTATACATTTTTCCCACAATTTTGGAGTAAAGGCAAATTATATTTGTAACTTTTGATTCAAACAAATATCCTTCACACATAAATTACAAAATTATCTTTGTGGATCAGTTTTTCTGGCCAAAACTGTTAAAATATTCTGTGTCAAATTGACTCACTCCGTGAAAATAAATATACCACATTCTATAATGCAAAATTAAGGGATCTGAGACAATAATGAATGAATGTTGACTTATATTTCATGAAATAACTAAAAACCATTGTATTTTTGTAAATATTAATATCAACGTTTTTTTATGTATTAAGTGATTACATTTTCATTGAGTCAAATTGGCTCAGTTCGTAAATCTAGTGTTAAAACGATGATTTTCTTATTATGATAAATCAAACAGAAATATCTACTAAAACAAGATTTATGATAGTAGTAAGAGTCGATAAAGGTTTTTGTTTTTTTATGCTTTAGAATACATATTTAGATTAAAATTTTTAATTTTGTTACTTAACCCAGTATCACATTGTAATAATGTATCTATTATTTTGTAAAACCAATTTAAAATTAAAAATTATGTATTGGACTTTTTTTCTCCCTAACTACTCTTTTGAACCCCATGCCCATGTAGGATAAATTTAAAAGTAAGTAATTAAAAAAATCAATTCTATGATGTGGATTTAGCTTAGAATTATAATGAACTCAGCTCGATAGTTCTTCGTTAGATGTGTTTTATATTACCAAAAGTCAAATTGGACCTTTGTGCATCGCTCTACCCTATAAAACTTTTTATATATTTTTGATACTGAGCTATGCTTTTTCTCGCTTCAAAAATTCTGTAAAATTTTATACTAATAATTGTTTATTAGAAAATTTTCAATAGTTGAGACAATCCGGGACAGAAGAAAAACAATTCCATAAATGGGATAGTCACGGAAAACTATATATGTACTTATATAAAGTATTATATGGGAAATAAATATTAGCTATGGAATTATAAATACATTAAAAAGTTTTATGTACTAATTTTAAGCAAAAATGTTAAAAATAAAAGATTTCAGAAGTAGAGTTTGTCCTTTCAAAAAACATATAACTAAGTGAAGTTACTGTATATAGAATATGAGTTAAATAGATAAATATTTAGCTAAATGTGATTTAACATTACAATCGTTATCTTATTTTTTTAACAAAATTTGTTTTTATAACAAATTCAGTAAAGTATTTAATTCATTAGTGTAATTTATAAAACGATACCAAGCATCATGTATCAACCATCCCCAAAAACGATTTATAATTTTGCCTCAGCCTTCTGTTTTCCCTGCTCCTCCTGCTCCGTGCGGAGTCTCTTCCATATTCAATTGAATTAAATTTTGGTTTACCTTCTGGAATTTTCTCCGACGCGCATGTGAACATTCGTATTTGTCGTCGATTTTAAGCTGCCCTTAATCGAATTTCACGATAATTGAGTTTACGTGACTTAAAGTTATGCAATTTGCAAGTTACTCCGAATGCATACGCGACTCTCTACATTCGTTACGATGTTGTAATTATTAATTCATGATTAAATTAATACGTTCCCGAACTGATTTCTCTGTTGGTAGATGAAAGTTCTGATATTACGAATTAAATTCGATCTTGGACTGAGAAATGATGAGATAATTTTACTTTTTATGCCAACAATGAATTAATGTTAATGTCACCAAATTACTTAATGTCACCAAATATATAGTATCTAATTATAAGTAGTTACAAATATATAGGTAAGTTATAGTAATTGCAAAAAAATCGAAAATGAAACTTTCATGTATTCAACTGTTTTTACAACATACATATTTTTTGAACAAATTACTAAGTATTTTTAGAATAGTATTCTGGGTACTTTTTAATATAAGTAGATTTTTTAATATTCTAACAATATTATTTTCAATAGTCTTAAAATACACTAATAATCGAATTCCATTTTACTTTGTTGCTCGTCCATTTGCCTTGACCGAATTTGGCATGAACAATAATTGCATGATCATAAATCTCAATAATTGTTTTGACTATTAATCATAATTTGATGGTTAAGATTATTATTGTTACGATGCAATTGACAGAATACTTTCATACTCATTTGCCTTGACTTAGGGTCAGTCAACTAGGAATATCTGATTATTAGTGAAAGGACTTTTATTTATATCCTAATACTTTGAATATATGATTTTTAATAATTATATGATTTATGATTGCCTAGTTGCAATATTTTACGTTCATTATAGATTGAAATATAGGATCATCGATTTTTTGTTGTATTGTAACAAATATAGAAATTTCTACCTTGACACTTAATATCAATTATATCTAAATTATTTATTACTTGAAACTGATTACAAGCACAAGTTTAGTGAAACACATTCATAATACGTTATCCAAACACTCTCATTTATTTTCTCCCATGAACAATAATATATTTGTTTATACATTCGCCATTACAAGGCATGTTAGTAATTAGGATAAAGTTAGTAAATAACTCTTCTTTTAGTGCTTTTATGTGTTTTTGACGATGCCGGTTATAGCACATTTGTGTTTTAGGAGGCGTCTAGCAGACCCACGAGGAATGCCGTATCCTAAAACAGCATAAGGCGTTTTATTTGATTATTAATAGAATGTACATTAGTGGAGCATTTTTCATACTCCGATGTACAAGTTTCTGTTAATTGCTAAATAAAACATTCCGAATTACCCCGTGTCTTGTAAGCTGCTCTCCGAGAGGTAATTAATCTTCGTTCATGGCGATGCTAGAGCTATTTTCATTTTGATATGCTAATATATTATATTTATAATTAACTGACTAAATGATTATACTTTTTTGAATAGATATTATTTATGCGGAAGTCAGGGTAAGACGAATTTTGAGCTATTTCAAGTTGAGATTAATATTGAGTTGAATTTGATTTTATGCACATAGAGTTATTTTTAAGTTGAATATTTATTATATAAATACTGTGACATATTTTTTAAGTAAAACTTCTTTAGATGCGACAAGGGTGTAAATCAGAGATAATGCAACGGAAGTGCGTTACGGTCTACTGATTTATCATTAGCCAGCGACGTCGTCATTCATAACGTTAATGCGATTGATCATGTGTATGTATCGTTTTGTACAGCAACCAAGTGAATTACGAAATGTCAAATGTCAATCCTACTATGTTTATTTATCTATGTCTACTATAGATTAACGGAAATCAAGTTAATGCCGATAAGTTATTATAATTATTATTATTATTTTTACAGTTTTGTTATTGGACGTATTTTCCAAGAAATTCGTATACTGTATGTCTTGCAGAACTTATTTTATAAATTAAACACTATTTTAATTTGATTCAATTTATTTGCCGAATAATTGTAACGGAGTACGGAAATCACAATGATATCGATTTACTGATAAAAGGTACTATCGACCTGAACAGTTATAATCCCAAAATCTATCTATTGAATTCTAGTTACTGCTGGTACTGATAATACTGCAGCAGCAGTGTTGACTAGTGTGAACAAAAATAATGGTGTTACCATATACAATTCTTTCCATACTCCCACTCGATGCACAATTGCATCCAAAATTAAATAAACTTAAAGTTAAATCTAGTAGATAATATTTTAAGTCACATACAAAATAAATATAAGTTTCTTAATAGCAACTACAAACTTGAAGAAATTAACTTAGCTACATACAAAATCATACATTTTTTCTAATACAAAATACAATTAAATTAGTTCACATTCAAGAAATAACACAAGATACAAATATTTGTTATTTACAATATTAATCATTAATTGGCAAAGGCACTAATTTATGAATAGGTCTTGTGTAGGTTCCATTTGAGGTTTTAACTTCTGCCACTCGAACTTTACCATCACGACCATAATTTAAATTAACAATTCTAGCCAAGCACCATCTTAATGGGGGAAGGTTATCCTCCTTAATCAAAACTATCGAGTTTAATTTCAAATTTGGCTGATTATCTGACCATTTATTTCGTTTTTGCAAATAAGATAAATAATCCTTTGACCATAAAGTCCAAAATTTATCTCGCATGGCAGTTAATTGCTTATATACCGTTAATGAATTTAATTTATCAAAATTTACGTTTGGTTCTGGGATTGTAGTTAAAAAATCTCCAATCAAAAAATGACTAGGCGATAAGTACTGAAAACTAGAAACATCATCTGTTATTGCCATAAGAGGACGTGAATTAAGAATTGCTTCCACCTGTAATAGTACTGTTAAATATTCCTCATAAGTTAAACAGGAGGAGCCTATTATCCTTCGAAGGTGATATTTCATAATTTTAATACTTCCTTCCCACAATCCACCAAAATGTGGGGAATGAGAAGGAATAAACTTCCAAGTTATGCCCATTGTCGCAGCTTGGTTAATTATATCTGTCTTGAAGGATTGTTTACTAAAAAGATTCCGTAGCTCTTGCAACTCATGATTAGCGCCTATAAAATTCGTTCCGTTGTCGCTATTTATTACCGAACATAGACCTCTACGAGAAACGAATCTCTTTAAAACACAAATAAATGATTCTGCTGTGAGGCTAGTTGTAATATCTAAATGAACAGCTTTAGTCACCATGCAAACAAACAAAACAATATAAGCCTTAATTCTTGGTGCTTTCCTTAATCGACTCGATCTTATCGTCAGCGGTCCTGCGTAATCAACCCCAACATTAAAAAAAGGGCGTTGAAATTTAACTCTATCAATGGGTAAACTTCCCATTAATTGAGAGGCAGTAACAGCTTTAATTTTTGCACATTTTACACATGAGTGTATTATCGCTTTTAGCTCTCTTCGCGCGTTCAAGGGCCAATATTTTCGACGAATATTTGCTAAAACCGTTTGCGTGCCCGCATGCATCAACCTTTCATGCTCTTGTTTCAATAAGAGTCTTGTAACATAATGTTTTTTGGGCAGAATTATTGGGTGCTTTTGTTCATAAGAAACATCAGCATTTTCTATCCTACCACCCACTCTCAAAAAACCTGACTTATCTAAGAAAGGATGAAGCGATTTCAATTCCGCCATCAATTTAAGATTAGGAGTATGTTTACTATCTTGCAGATTTTTTATTACTTTCGTGAAGGTTTCTAACTGAACCAATTTTAAAATTACCTTCAACGCATTATCTAATTCTGGGACCGATAACGTATTGTGATCACCACGACCTATCGACCTTTTAATATAAGGGTTCATTCTTAAGCAGTAAGCAAGTACTCTAGTCATTTTCCTTAGCGAAGAGAATCGCTGACAGAAAGTATCAAGAAAAGAACTGCTGTTTTCTTTAACTAATAGAACTCTTTGTTCGGGTAGAACAGCGTCTAAAGAAGGATCAACATTTGGCCACCTATCAGTATCCTCAGACAACCAACTTGGGCCATTCCACCATAGCTCACAAGTTTTTAATTGATCTGCGGATAAGCCTCGTGAAATTAGATCTGCTGGGTTGAAATCAGAAGGCACATGTCTCCAGATTGTGCCGGGAGTAATGTCAGTAATTTCTCCTACTCTATTGCTCACAAAATATGCCATCTATTTGGATCGCCAGCGATCCATGACAAGACAATGTTCGAGTCACTCCAAAGTAAAACCTTTTCAAAATTTATATCAATGTTATCAATCACCCTTCTGAACAACCTAGCCAATAATAATGCAGCACACAATTCCAACCTCGCTAAAGTTATCGGTTTTAAAGGTGCAACTTTTGATTTCGCACACAGTAGTTTCACACTCGTAGTTTTATCTTCATATGTGGTTTTAACATAAAAGCATGCTCCATAAGCATATGAAGACGCATCAGCAAAACCATGAAGTTGAATACTTATAATACGTTTGTGATGAAAAACGCAACGATCAATAACTAAGTGTGATAATGTCCCTAACTTTGTGGCAAACTTGAACCACTTATTTTCAACGTTTGCAGAAACACTTTCATCCCAATCTTTCTTATCTTTCCAAAGTTCTTGTAAAATCAATTTTCCTTGTATAACGACAGGTGCGATCAGTCCTAAAGGATCAAAAATTTGTGATATCACAGATAAAATAACTCGCTTTGTACAATTATTAAATTTAAAAGTGGGAACTGAAATAAGAAAGTGATCCTGTTTTGGATTCCATAATAAGCCTAAGGTGTTAATAGAATTTTTATCGTCAGTGAAGATAGGGTTATTAAATTCTCTCAATTGCAAAGGAATATCATTTAAAAAACTTGGAATATTTGAAGCCCATTTATGTAAGCAAAAACCGCCTAATTCTAATAACTTAATTAATTCAATTTTAGTACGCTGTAAATGTTCTATACTATTAGCACCAGTAATTATGTCGTCGACATAAATGTCCTCTAAAAGTACATGTGAAGCAATCGGGAATGTGGCTTTTTCTTCAAAGGCTAAATGATTCAAACATCTTATCGCAAGATATGGAGCTGAAGCCGTTCCGTAAGTTACAGTTGTAAGCCTGTAACATCTTATTTCTTCCGAAGGAGAGTCCCTCCAAAGAATCCTTTGATACTCCTGATCGGCTCTTTTAATATTTATTTGTCTAAACATTTTAATTAAATCAGCTATGAAAACAAAAGGCTTCGATCTGAATCTTAGCAAAATGCAAAATAAATCCTTCTGTAATTTTGGACCAGCTAGAAGGATGTCGTTAAGAGACTTTCCCGACGAAGTTTTAGTCGATGCGTCAAAAACAACGCGTATTTTATTAGAATCTGAATTTTTAAAAACAGCATGATGTGGCATATAATAATGATTATGACTGGTGGAAGAATCAAAGGTATCTAAAATGTCCGATTTTGGAATATCTGTTTGAACGGCGTGCCCCATAGAAATATATTCATGAATAAACTCACGATAAAGTTTATATAAATTGGGATTCTTGTAAAAACGCTTTTCTAAATAAAGAAATCTCTTATGTGCAACACCATATGAATGACCTAATTCTCCTTGATAATCTGGTGTAAAGGGCAAGGCAACTTCAAACCTATTATTAATTCTAGAAACACTAGATAGAAACTGCTCTTCACAAATTTTATTTAAACCATAAAGGCGCATATTTGTCTCAGGTATTTCTTCCAAATTCCAGAATTTAACTAAATTCTCATTTAATTTAAAATTAGAATGTGTTATCAAACCTACATATTCCTAGACCTTTCAACACTATTGTAATTGCCCGAAACAATCCATCCAAACTTGGAGTTACGTAAAATCGGGTGATAACTTCCTAACCTAATAGAACCCTGTTGTAGAATGTCGAAGAAGAGTTCAGCTCCTATCAACATATCTATAGGGCTTGAAATATAAAAATGAGGATCTGCTAATTTAATGTGTGAGGGAATATTCCAATCGTTTATATTAATATCAGCGGACGGCAAATTACTAGTGATTGATTTTAAAACAACAAAATCTAAGGTTCTAGAAAACGTAGAAGCATTTGAAAATATTTTTATAGTAGCTGTTTTATTACTAAATAACGAATGTCCATGTAAAACACTTAAAGAATTTGATACTGTATTTAGAGTGCAATTTAACCGGTCGGCAAGTGACTCCGAAATAATATTTATTTGACTACCGCTATCTAATAATGCCCGTACATTGAATGATCTACCAAATGAATCATAAACCCTTACAATGGCAGTAGATAACAAGGTTTGAATGTTATTTTTACAATTAGCTAACAAAATCGTCGGTGGCTTATCAGAAGGCTTATCTACTTGGTGACTAATCTGATCACTTTGTGCACTGTGTAGCAAAGTATTATGCAATTCGGATTTGCATACCCTACATGAACCCGTATACTTGCAACTTGCTAAGGCATGAAAACCATCCAAACATTTCTCACAACAATTATTTTTATTTGCAAATTTCTTGCGTTCTTGGACAGACAATTTTTTGAATGCGTCACAATTAAATAATGGGTGATTTCGTTTGCAAAATGGACAAATTCGCTTGGATTTTTGTTTACTAATGAAATTAACGGGTTTTGAATTAAATTTTGATTTACTACTAGAAGGTTCTGATCTAAAAGTCGCCTCCAAGGCTGAAATACGTGATGTTAAAAATTCAAAAAATTGTTCTAAAGTAGGCAAATCTGTATTCCTATGTAAATTCCATGCCAAGCAGGTTTTATCGTCCAACTTTTTTGTGAATAAAAATATAAAGACTAAATCCCAATACTTAGCGTCATCATAGACTGATTTTAGTGATAGCACCTGTTGTCGAGCAGTATTTAAAAATGAATTTAAATGTTCAAACGTATCTCTAGTTAAATTTGGTAAATTAAATAATGATGACAAATGTGCATTAATAATGAAAAGTTTATTATCATAATGCTGTGTCAATGAATTCCAAGCTATGGCATAGTTTTGGTTTGTCATGGTTAAATTCGCTATCAATTTAGACGGGCCAGAAGACAATGAACCTTTTAGATAATACAACTTTTCTACATCTGTTAAATTTTTGTTGTTATGTATTAATGAAATGAAAATATCTTTGAACTCAACCCATGAATTATATTCGCCATTGAACCTCGGCAATACTATGTCAGGTAATTTAACCTGCGGATTATTGGGTTTTATTATATTATCAATAGCTTGTTTGTTATCAACGGTGTTATCTTGGACTAATTCGTCAATCCTAGTCAATAAATCTAAATGTTTCTCACAATATTTGCGGAATTCAACTGAGTACTTCTTGGGCTCGAGCAATTCTAATTCAACATATATTTCCTCGATCCGATGAAACATTTCTAGTAATTTCTGTTTGCGTATATTTAAACCGGCAATATTATCGCCTTTAAAGCTAGTAACATATTTAAATATAATGTCAAACGTAATTTCTATCTGTGACCTCTGTTGCAACAATGTACTTAAGTCGGCCATTTTGATTGAAATTAAATTATTACTTCAAATTAAATTTATAAACTAATAACAATCGGTATAAAGAATGAAAATATGAAAACAACTTTGAAAAAATAATATAATATTGTTAGGTAAGGCCACACGAGTATAAACTTCAGACCTTAAGCTAACTATAATGGATGTCGGTCGCGTAAAATGGCGTCAAACAACAATGAAACCTACAAGCCTACGACCTTTACAACTCAAAATTTATAACTATAATAAGCAATTACAATACAATGAAATAATTATAATATTCACTGTAGGTAATGTCAAATAAATAAATGTCAATAGATATCACTTCTACAATGTCACCTCATGAATTCTTCCAAGTAATTCCTTTGGGACACGTGGTAGACTTTCCACAGCTCCTTAACTCCGCATATGTAACTGGTAGACTCGCGACACTTCCTGAACCCCAAGTTCACTCAGGCCACGTGGATGATGTCCACAGTAATTCGGCAGCAAATTGCACGTGTCAGCATTCAGCAAACTGCAGCTAATTGCACGTTCACGTATTGCACAAAATTGACGTAGTGCACAAATTTTAGAATAAAATGTATATTCTGCAGCTCAAGATGTAGCCAAGATCCGGTTGAAGGACCAAAATTTTATGGACGTATTTTCCAAGAAATTCGTATACTGTATGTCTTGCAGAACTTATTTTATAAATTAAACACTATTTTAATTTGATTCAATTTATTTGCCGAATAATTGTAACGGAGTACGGAAATCACAATGATATCGATTTACTGATAAAAGGTACTATCGACCTGAACAGTTATAATCCCAAAATCTATCTATTGAATTCTAGTTACTGCTGGTACTGATAATACTGCAGCAGCAGTGTTGACTAGTGTGAACAAAAATAATGGTGTTACCATATACAATTCTTTCCAGTTATTATTATTATTTTTTTCTTGTATATTCATACAGAAGTAATATTTTGTAATGTATATTATTGTAGTATGTAATATGTATTTAATTGATATTGGCTAAAATGTCTGTATAGAACGAGGCCATTTTAATAAAATAAAATAAAAAAAAATCTAAATCTATGTCTACTACTAGTATTTAAGGTTATGTTGTCGAAATCCCAATTTACTGAAAATCAATAGCGTAATATAGTGTCATCTAAGACATCTAAAAATGCCGTGCTGTTTACTGATTTTGGAATAAGGACATCTTTGATATTAATATTGGTTGAAATTAAATTCTTATAAATTCCTCTCTAAATTCTTATAAATTCCTTTTTTAATAATTATCAGTTAACTAATTAATCAAAATATTACAGGAATTATGTATCAATATACTCATATCTAGTCAGAATCATCATTACAATGGTGACTACCACCTACGCATTTTACTTGGAATCAGAAACACTTTGGCACTTGATCTATTTTACGTCACCCCTACTTTCAGAATGTGAGCTTCCACAAATCAGACAGAATCTTTCTTTTGGTGTTTTGCTTTTTCCTTTATTATTGGTTTATTGCTCTTTTTGCCTTGTATTTTGTCTTAGTTTAGTAAGGTTTTTCTTTATTTAGCCAATGGTTAAAGATTTATAGACTCGCCAATACACGGTTATTTGCTGTTGGAGTATTGGCGTTTAAAAATTAATCCTCTCATATTCATCATACTTTTTCTTTCAGCGTACTTTATTAGTTCTTAACAATTTTGATATTCTCAATCTTAACTAAATTCAGTTTCCATATTATTTCAATCATCCCATTCGATTACTAGTTTATTATATATTACTTTTTAACATATATGAATAGTGCCCAAACTCGATTCCAGGATCTCTGTTGATATGTTTTTACTTTTAATTGTCTTGCAGTCATAAACTAAGCCAAATATTGATTAAATTGATTCTCAAACCAAATACATATATCTACTTTACTATCAAAACGTGTTGTCATCTTCACAACTAGCATATTTCGAGAGCACTTCTCATTTAGCCCCATCTTTCCACTTCAGCATGTAAATCTATCCCATATCCACAGCCGTTTTTGTGTAATCAGAATCACAATAAAATCCAAACAGCTAAACAGGCCAAACTGCCCGAGTCAGTGTGTTCGCGATCATTTTCATTTTCACTTGGTTTTGTTTTTTGGCTCGTAGCCCATATGGGAATATCGTAGAGTGCGTGATATTCCCTCATGATAATTATCATTAGTATATTGTCTAGGATCATTACATCACAAGATTTCGTTTTATCAAATGATTCAAACTCGTTCCGTATTCATGAGGTCTTTTAGATAATTTATGTAAACATAAATGCCGGAAATAAATTTTATAGTAGAACTTTATAGTACAAACGCGACTGTCTTTATTTGAGAATGTTTCATTATAGCTGACAATTAGCATAAAACAAATTTAATGTTACAAATACTTTGTTTTTACACTTGAGTACAAAAATAATAAAACCATCTGCAATTTATCTTTGTATTCGAAGTGGAGAATTTGATTACTGAATATTCTATTACAACCCCATAAAATAAAATAATAAAGAGCAATTAAAAAACGATCCACAGACAAGGAATATTTTTGAAAAAGAATATTGTTCTTTTCCTACATATTATCAATTCTGTAAATCCAACATAATGTAATTTTCATATTTAACCAATTAACTGTCATTGACGATTGTGGAGCAGTACTAAAATTTTGTATATTGGCTATGATTTTGTATATTGGCTAATTCTATAAGAATCAAAGGCTCAGATTGGTTATGAGAAATAATGAATAAAAGTTGATTGTTAGTGTGTTCCTATTTTATTTAATTGTATATCTATTACATCAGATTAAAATCTAATTATGAAAACTTGAAAGGTCTGCAGAATAGCATGTTTTCACCAAATATTTGTTCGTTAATTTGATGGAAGTTTGGAAGCTATAACAATTATATATATATATATATATATATATATATATAAGGGTGGTCCTTAATATGGATATTTTCGAATTTCCTTGCTCCAAAGGCTCAAATGGCTCCAAATTGATAAAAAACAATTCTCCGAAAGTTTTAGCTCTTAATATTAACTTTTAGGTAGTGCGCAATTCAATCAAACTTCGTATGGGGCTAATTCTGCGATGAAATAGACATGTTTTTGTAACGCTATGTTGTGGGTCTATCTTCGTATGAATTGGTAGTAAGAA